ACATATAATAAATTACCAGAACCTACACGACAATCACAGAAGAAGAAAGAGCCAAAAATCCATCAAACTGTGCACAAGAGGGTAAATAATGCTTTTCTGGACTGATTCCAAGGCAAAAGTCAACCAGGTGGCCTCAGGTTGTCTGGAGTCTAATGGGATACGAATAGTGGTAACAGCTGGGGTATATGAGAAGTAATTTTCACCCGGTCTTCATCAACTTACCTTGAAAAAAACCTCATGAGATGCTTTTCCTTAACACAATTTATTTCAGCTTCACTGTTTTTTACCTTAGCTTCAACTGCCTACCCACTCAACTGAGCATTAGGGATGGTCAATTTCTCTATCATTAATTGTGTATGTTTGCAGGCACTGATTACTAAACTCATCTAATCCCCACTACCTGCAAAATGTTATATTATTTTCATAATTGATTTTGCCTCTTATTAGAATCATTAGAACAAGTTAGTAAGATGCAAAAAGTGGGAATCACTTGATACTTTCAGGTTAGTGAAAATGGTGGCTGCTACAGGCCTCTTTCTATAAGCAACTATTTCTAAGCTAATTCTCAGGTCAGGTTTGGGGAAGCTTTGGAGTCTTTTTAGATTTTTATCCCTACTTTCTTAATCTAGGCAACAAATATGACCAAAAGAAAAATTTTGTATACTCTGTTAAACTTATAAATACATTTGAACTGCTTCTATATAAAAGCAAGAAAGAAAGAAAGGAAGGAAGGAAGGAAGGAAGGAAGGAAGGAAGGAAAGAAAGAAAGAAAAAGAAAGGGCTCAAAAACTAATGCATCATTTCACAATTTGGTTCTAGGATAGCTGGAATGGTAAATTCCTCCAAGGCATACTCCCAGACCAGCAGCAGAATATGAAGCAATTCTGAATACCAGCCCTATCTTTGGATATACATAAAGTCTGTGAAAAGCAAGAAAACAATTTCTTAGATTAGCAATTGCCAATGGAATAAATAAAATATAGTATGAGAGGGCCAGGGATTTTGCTTAGTGGTTCTGCTGCCTGCCTCACAAGCGCAAGGTCCCAAGTTAGATGCTGCTACCCCACAAAACAAATGAGAGATTTCTAAACCTTTCTTCCTCAATACATATTCTTCACTCTACCTCAAACAAGGTGAAAAGAGACGGGAGGCATGCTGAGTAAAAAGAAGACCTGAGAGCTTGAAAAGTTCCCCAAATGATCCAAATGATTATATTTATATCCTTCTCCTAAAAAGGCAAGATCCTTAATCTAACTTTAGTTTAGACCCTATTTCCATGAAAATGATTAGCAGATCCATCATACTATCCTTCAGTCCACTACAGTTCTTAAAAATTTTAACCACTGAACTACTATGTGTAAGGTTTTGAGTGCCACCTCGTGGAAGAGATAGAAAACCACATGCTAAACTGAAGTACACAATCTACAAATATCAAGTTCGATACTCTTGATAGACAAGGATAGTTTCCGAAAGTATGATGACACATAAAACAAGTTTAGGTAGCACAGCACAAATACTGTTAAGTAGTTGGTATTGGCTCCAATATATAGTAAGAACAAAACTATAAACAACACTTCAAATCTGTCATTTCACAAACATGTGATGATGGTTAACCTTGATTTTAAAACGTAAATAGATTTTTAAGAAACAACTTACATTTCACATGTGGTACCCAGATATTACCAAAGTCATAAGATGACTTTAAAGTGATTGTTTTGGAAACAGTTGTCTAAGCTGGTTCTTTTAATAGAATATCTTTTTCTGTCAGTGTGTTGGGTTTCACTTATAAATACACAACAAAGTAAACCTTTTTTTTTTTTGTGCTGGGGATCGAACTCAGGACCTTGTGCTTTTGAGACAAGTGGCAGCACCACTGAGCTAAATCTCTGGCCCGAGTAATCCACATTTTAACAGAAACAATGTTCCATGGTACTCACACTTTTTCTTCCATCATAATTAGTTTTCTTAAACAGAAATTATTTCACAATGAAATTAACATTTCGGACTGCTAAATTCTTATACATATCTGCCTTCTTCAAAACATGCTTACCTAGGTAGTCATGCCATAGCTGTAAATAGTTGATTCCTTCTCATTTTGACAAGTTTCATTATAGAAAATACATTTCCATTTAATCTACCCTGTTAAATTTTCACAGCACTGTTTGAGCTCCTGCCTATTTACTGAAACAGAATGCACTTTAATGACCTATGCTCTATTGTCACAGTGGTCAATTATTTATCATAGAATTTAGAGGTTTCAAGAAAACCCTAAGCATTCACTCAGCATTCATTAGTTTAATATTTACTAATACTGAAACATACAAGTGAGAATCATAAGATTAACTCATTATCTTTTTGGATGACTATTATAAATGACAAAGATAAATTTTTAATGTGATAAAGTTTACAGAATGGAAACAAAATTATCAAGATTAGTTTATATCACTCTTTCCTTTTCTCCTCTATTGAGAATTACTGAACACTTAATTAGGATTTTGCTAACAGCAAATAGGGGTCACTTAATAATTATAAAGTATCTACCTTACAGCATTTGCCACACTGTCCTACCTCAAGCTCTCAATTTTTATCAAAGGGGACAATTATTCTCAGTTTCCTATCTATTCCCCTAGACTGCATTTATACATATATTATATATGATGTATTATTTTTACCCAAATGGTGGCAGTCTATACTTACTGCTCTACACTTCACTTTTTCACCTAACAAAACAAGGTGAAGATTTGTTCCATTTTGATATATATAATAAAGCCACCTCCTTTTTGATAGATGAACTATATTTCATTTTATGAATATACCATAATTAATATATCTAGTCCTATAAGAAAAAACATTTCAGTTGCTTTCAATCTTTGCTATTATAAAAAATACTGCATTAAACAACTTTGTATATATATAATTGTGAATAAGTACTTATAAGTGAAACTACTTGTCCATATAAGCTTTGGAATTTGCTGTTGCTATTTTTTGAAAAAAATCACATTACATTTATGGATTAAAATTTAAAGAGCGTGACATTTTTATTTTATAATCTTTTCACTGACAGTAAAATATGCCTTTTTTTTTTTTTTTTTTGTACTAGGGTCCTTGCACTTGGAAGGCAGGCCACCGAACAAACTGCTGAGCAAAATCCTTGGTAATATGCCTTTTAATTATGTCATATGTTACTGACTCTAGGGAAGACATTTAAATATTTCTAAGTAAGGATCCAGCTTATTATCTAGAACAACTTTTAATTTACTATCATCTAGTGCTCGCTTCGGCAGCACATATACTAAAATTTACTGTCATCTAGGTGGCAATGTCAACAGTAATTATTCTGAGTGGCACGACAAATAACAGCCATCTACGGTCATTTCAGTAGCCAAAACATTTGAGGAAGAAATACGAGTAATGTTTTTAAAAGCATACCCGTGACACCCTCTGGTAAGATCAGGGAAGTGCAAGTATCACAACAAAATGTAGTCAGTGATTTGGAAGGAAAATAAAAAAAATGCCACAACATCAATAATAGCACAAAGGACACTTCTGTATGGGAGCCAAAACACCAACTTTGTTGACTCCAGGTCAAAAAGTGATTCAAAAGAATCAGATTCTAAAATTGAAGTGTCACTAATATCTTACCTATTTGTCTATATTTTCATTTCATAATTGCACAAGAGATAAATGATAAAATACCAAATACATCTAAAAGTCCCTTCAGTAAATACAAAATAAGCATTCTAATTCCTAAGAGATGATTATACCAGAGGTATTGGTAGCAGTTTTTCTTAGCATTATATTTTTAAAATGTAATTTATATTCAGCATTATCTCAAATTTCATAAAATACTCAAATTTGTTTTATGACTCTCATGAACATTTAAAACTTTTTCTCATATAGATTTTGCATATTCTTAAGACTTTCAATACACTTTTTCTTCCATTACATTTTCTCATTGGAAAGCTATTTTGTGAGCAACCATCTTAGCAAATTTTCTTACTATATGTGTGTGCATGTATGTGTGTGTACATAATATTCAAACTGGGGATTGAACCCATGGCCTCACACATGCTAGGCACAAGCACTCTCTAACCCAATATCTCCAGCCCAACTAGTATATTTTCAGTGGATTCTTTTAAGTAGTAAAAATTTAAATTCAAATTATTTAAATTCTCTGGTGACATTTAAGTTTGAGGAAGGTAAAGATTTAAAGATTGCAGAGTGCTGTTTTTGTTGTTTTGGTAGTACTGTGGAATGAACTCAGGATTTTACATATGCTAGTCAAACAGTCTACTACTGAGATACATCCCCAGCCCTTTTTTTTTCTTTTTTTAAAATTTTTAAAATTTTGAGACAGGTTCTCACTAAGTTGCCCTGCCTGATCTGTGTCTATTATTTCTACTCTTATATCTCCAGCACCTGGAGTAGCACCTTGCGTAAAGTAGGTAATAAACATTCATTTAAGTGAATCAAGTGCATTTATAAAGTAATATTAATGCATCTTACTTTGTAAACTTATCCCAACACCCTCCCCAATAGTCTGGATATGCTTTTAAGACATATTAAATGATTTTTATGCCTGAAATATTTATCAGAAATCTGTTAATTTGAAATAAACAGTCCAAAAAAAATAAAATAATAGAAGTAGTATTCATAGCCTCTTCTCACATTCATTTATATTAATCCTGTAAGAAAGGAGATATTTTAAGCTGGGTGGGATGCTGTAATTCTAGCACTCTGTGAGACTGAGGCAAAAGGATCAAAAGTTTGAGCCCGGCCTGAGTAATTTAGTGACTAACCAAGACCCTACATTAAAAAAAGAAAAAAGAGGGGCTGGGGAGGAACTCAGTGACAAGGTCCTGAGTTCAATTCCCATAACAGAAAAAGAAAAAAGAAATCTGGTATTTTATATTCAATTCTCTATGTGTTCGGCTATATAATTCATTGTATTTCAGTTATTAAAAATTTTAATCATAAAATAATTATCTTAAAACTCTTACCTTTTGGATCTTAGGTCTGATGAATCAAACTGGATATTCATTGGTCCAGGATTTACTTCATGATCTTCTTCAGAGATGAGGTGATGCTTATCGTCCACATTTGCCATTTTTCTCAGATTCTAAGCACTGAGGAAGTTATTCCTACATAAATCAGAAAAGATAAATAAATCGGTTTAATTTAAAAACATTTTACTATGCATACAAAATAAATGGAAAAGTATAGAAATTTCCTAATGATGCCTATTTCCTACCCCCTCCCCCAAGGTCTCACTATGTTGGCCCAGGCTGGCCTTGAACCCCTGCAACCAAGCAATCCCCCTGCTTCAGCTCCCTGAGCAGCTATGACTATAGGTGTGTGGCCACTGTGCCTAGCTGCTAAAGACATCTTAAATGCTTTTTATGCCTGAAATATTTATCAGAAATTTGCTAATTTGAAATATTCACTCATTTTTCAGCTTAATAAAAAATACGTGAGATAATCTACTTCTGGGAATAAAATGGGTTAGGTTACTTGGGATTTCCCAGCTTTCAGAATTGTCAAATATAAATTTGGTTTTGTCATTGTTTTTGTTTTGTGACCTTGAGACCTGAACTCAGGGCTTTCCCACTAAGCTACATCTCTAACCCTCTCTTTGTTTGGAGACAGGGTCTTAATAAATTGCACAGGTGGTACTTGAACTGGCAACCTTTCTACCTCAGCCTCCCAGAATGCTAAGATTTATAAGTACAGGCCATCATGCCCAGCTATAAATCTGCTTTTTATAAATTACTCAGTCACAAAACTTTGTTAGAATAGCATAAATAGACTGAGACAGGTGCCAAAAGGGAATCAAGAGCTTACCTGATTTGTGTAATACTTCCAAGTTTTGTTTAAATGTTAGTGCCTTACTGAAGCTTATCTCCATAAAAAGTATGTAAAAAACAACCGGAGAAGGGCCAGGGATTTGGCTCAGAGGTTCCGCCACCTGTCTCACAAGCCTAAGGGCCAGAGCTCAATCCTCAGTACAACAACAAAAAAGCAACCAGAGAAAATCAGTGTGACCCTTTTTAAAGGTTTGACTGTGATTATCAGTGTACCTCAAAGAACAACAGCCCTTTCTATATAAGGATCAAAAACTTCCTTTCAAAATTCTTTGCCAAAATAAATCTATGGCGCAATGCCTTTAATCCCAGCACTCGGGAGGCTGAGACAGGAGGATTTCTGTGAGTTTGAGACCAGCCTGGGCAACATAGTGAGTTCCAGATCAGTCTCAACTACATAGTGAGACCCTGTCTCAAAACCCCCCCCCAAAAAAAAAGCCCAAAACAACAACAACAAAATAAATCTATAGTATTCTAGGCCAAATGCTTCCATTGATTTGCAATAGAATACACTGGTTTGTGCCCAAACAAATGTGACTGTGAATCTAACATATAAGTATTTACATGTTCTTTCTCAGAAACTGAAATTCTGTATTAACTAATATACTTGTACATGAAACAGAGTTTCAGACACTTTATTTATATTCAGTTTATTAGGCCAGGTGTTGACAATATTTTTTTGTAGAGGGCCAGACAGTAACTATACTAGCCTTTTTCAGCCACATCCTCTCTGCAAGTATTCAACTCTGCCTCTTACATGAAAGGCAATATATAAATGAGTATCCATGGCTGTGTTCCAACAAACTCTATAAAGAAAAAACATATCCATCAGCAGGTGAAATCTGATCAGTTTATCCACATCTGTAGGATGCCAATATAAAAGAAAAGGAACTACACCATAAAAAAGGCAGTCTGGTGGGAGCACTATTTTATTATGTACAAGTCTGTATCTGTATAAAGTCCCCTATCTAAATTCTTTCCTTATGAATAATTTACTGGTCAGCTAATAGGAGCTAGAATACTCTAATTTTGATGTAACATTTGGAACACACTTCTAATTTGATCAATTAATGCTTCAAGAGCTGTTAAATCTGACAGTGCTGGAGGTTAATGTGGATTAAAGAGATTCTCTCACCAAAAAAACTCTCTTCCCATGCCAGGTACACTAAATGCCATGAAGTTTTGTTAAGGCTATAAGGAAGAAATAATACTAGCAAAGGAATTAAATTTAAGTGTATTATGAAATACAGGTCAGAGAGAAATTCTTAAATCTCTTGGTGATTTTTTAAAAACCTTTATGCCAATATATCATTTTAAAAAGTACTAAAAACCATTACTTTCATATTTAATTCACATTGATATTATCTTCTCATGCTGTATTTTTATTGACATACTTAAGGTATTATAAAATCACAATTAAAAGTATATTATTTTATGTGTATAACAAGTATGCAGTACATAAGACTGTGAGAAAAATGTGAGTTTAACTATTCTCAGACCTCTAGTGGGCATAAATCAGGGATGTTTTATTGTCTTTGAGGTATTGAAAACTATAGCTGACAAATTGGCTATCAACCTTTTACCTTAGTATGGTGTTTGTTTGTTTGTTTGTTTGTTTTGAGACAGGGCCTCACTATGTAGTTGAGACTGACCTGGAACTCACTATGTAGCCCAGGCTGGTCTCGAACTTGGAGCGATCCTCGTGCCTCAGCCTCCCAAGTGCTGGGATTACAGGCGTGCACCACCACGCCCGGGTCTACCTTAGTATGAAAGTAGTGTATAAACCAGATTTCTTTCCAAGGATACCTTTGACTTTTTGAAAAGCTTAAAAACTTTCAGCATTTGTCTATTATCTATCAGATTGTTGTCAGGCCCAGACCCAGACAGAGCATTAATAAGAAAAAAAAAAGGAAGGGATGGGATACATGTTAGGGTTTGCAGATCTAATGATCTCAACGATGGAGAAAGGCATCAGGACAATTAGGTTTTAGCCAAGTTGGCCACAACTGGTTTTCTCGGGATGAGTGGACTGCTCCAACTCGGTGGACCTCAATTTTCTCATTTAAAAGGAAGAGAACGCGCTTGACTACCTGTCCTTAGAGTCCCAGGATTCTAAGACAGCTATCATATCATGCCACCCGCTATCAAGACACCACACAACTGAGCCGTGTGAAAAGCTTGCCCATCTGGGGGGAGGGGGGGTCCTAGCTCAAGCGCAAATGGGCTTCCTCCCTCAAGCTCTTCCTAACGTGCAGTAAAGGCGCTCTATTCCTGCCACTCCCCCAATTCTCCCTCGTCCGGGGTTCGGGGTGCTCACCTGGCGTACCCCTGCCTTTTCTCTAAGGCTTCCTCACCCCGCGGACTCCCCGACTTCACCGCACTCGAGCTGGGCGAAGCGCGCGCCGCCGTCGCTCCGGAGCAGTCTCCGCGACCGCGGCTTCGGCCTCACCGCTCTCCCAAGGAGCTCGAGTCCGACGCGCATCACAGAAGAGCCAGCCCAGGTGACAGCCCACTCCCCCGCAAACTCAGCCTTCCCGCCACGGCTCGCGCCTCACTCTCCCGCGGGGCGAATTTGCAAACCGACAGAGAGCTTGCTCTACCTGAATGGCGAACCCTCAACCTCGGAGAACTGGGCGAGAAGGTGAGGACCCCTCCTCAGGTTCAAGCAGTTCGCGGCAGCCCGGCTACCGGTCCCCGAAACAGGAAGAGGCAATGGCCTATGCCGCGGGGGCCGGCGGGGGATGGAGTTCTGGGAGCTCCAAACTGGCGGCCTCAGTCAACTCCAACGTCGTGGACTACGACTCCCACAGGGCTCTGCGCCGCCCAGCGCTCCACCCTCTCAGCCCCACCCGGAGGCTTTGTGCGAAGAACTCGCAGGTGTGTAGGTGCTGGCTACCCTGGCTAGACCCCGAGGCACCTACGGGGCGCGCGCGCGTGCGAGGAGGGCTGTTTAGCCCCTCCTACCTGCAGTTTTCCCCAAATGCAACGAAACTATACAATCTAAGTAAAATTAATGCGTTAGAAACGCCACAGTAAATCCTCCTTAAACCATATGGCAACGCTTAAACTCTCTTTATGGGAAACCAAAGTCACTTAAAAAAAAAAAAAAGAAAAAAGAAACCAATAAAAAACAACAAAGTATTCTAATGTGATCAAGAACCAAATTTAAAAATCCAAATCGAATTATAATGAATGTCATATATTTTACATACAACGTCCCTTTTTAAATCTTTACTACAATTCTTTAAGTGTATATTTTCCTATTTTACAGGAAAAGAACCGGCCTTAGACAACTTAAATGACCTGCCAAGGCCAAACAACTTCCAAATGGCAAAATATCTAGAATTCAACCCCACCAAACACTGCCTCTGCCATTGAAGTGTTGGCAATTGCAAGGCCAGTGATTTAGAGAATGTTGCCATTAAAGGAGATAAATTATTTTGCGGATGCTGTCCTTATTTAAAAGCTTTTGCAACTGCTCTTTTTTGTTTGTTTGTTTCGGTACCTGGTACCAAACTCATGACTGCACTTGCGAGGCAGGCGGTGGCACCATTGAGTTAAATTCCCGCTAAATCCCTGCCCGCAACTGCTCTTTGACCCTGCTTTCAAATCAGCAGAACATTCTTCCAATAGCTTCAATGATAGAAAAAAAAATGTACTTCTTTTCTCCGCATTCTAGGCTGGGAAAAGAGTTTTAAGCATGACAAAGACACATAAAAATAAATGATGTGAAGATAGCAAAAAAAAAAATCACAGTAGGGAACATGAAAACTGTCAGTACACAACAGCAATGAACAAGCTGACAAAACTATTGGACATCTTTTTTATTTTTAATTTTTTGGTTTTTTAATTGAGTTTATTGGTACATTTTAGGTATACAGTACAGTTACATTCATCATTGGGATCTTGTACCTTTACATGACAGGTCTTGGTTCTCATTTTTTCCCCTTGTCCCTGCCTTCCCTTCACCCCTTTCTCCCCTCCCCATTTTTTCATTTTCTCCTATTTTTTTCTTTTCCCTTATTACCTTTCCCCTACCCTTCCCACTTTCCAAACACCTATCCCACTTTAAACACCTTTAGCCCCTTTCTTCCTATTTCACATTGTCAATTATCTGATCAGGACCTTATGTACTATTATAGTTTTTCACACCAGAGAAACTATTCGGTATAGACACCTGTTTTAGAAACTCTGGAACATGTAAAAAATTTACAACAGAGAAATGATGAAAAAAATGGTGAATTATAAGGAGAACTTTGTGATTATCTCCCACTCTCCAGGTTGGTGGTGGCCTTGAAGATGGAGGCTCAAATTGCTGGTATCGGTTACTGGTGCCAAAGGGCATTATATAGATCTTATTCTCATATTATAAGGCACCTAAATATTATAGACAACTAAGGTAACAATATTATAGGCAGTCAGATAGGGCTAGGCCCTTGAGACAGTCAGGAAATATTATAGACAACTAAGTTAGGTAACAATATTATAGGCAGTCAGATAGGGCTAGGCCCTTGAGACAGTCAGGACAAAGGTGAAACATCACAACTGTGGCTAGAGACACATCTATTAGAGACCAGGCCTCTAGATAAAGATGAGATGACCCGACCTTCATGCTTCTTCAAAAGACAAACACCAGGCCTAATGAAGTCTAGATAGACATCAATGACCAAGACTTCTGGACCCATCATTTTCTAAAAGAATCTTTGTTCTTTCCATGCACAGTTGTTACATGTTTTGTTTCCCCATTGGATCACTATTACCTAAGGGACTACACTTGTAACTGTATTGGTTAATGATAATTGTAACCCATGTTGTACCCACATGGGTTTTGCTCTATAAAACTTCCCTGTAAAGTGAGGTACTTGGCTAGCCATTTGGGTCCCCTCCTGCCTCTCAGAAGCTAGCCTATCAATAAATATTTTCCTACTCTTAACCTCTGTTTTTCCTAGGAGTCATTCTTCAATTTTAGTGAACATGAACTCCATGCATAGACATCTAACAGGTTAAGTTATATAATAATATTTTCATGTTTCACCTCCTGTATTGTTTTGACCTGTTCCCAGTAGGTTCAGCCCATGGGTTTGCCTTAGATTTGCACTTCCCCAAGGCAGTGTTTGTCAAAAGCATTTAAACACAAACATTTGGGATGTCACCAGCTCTCTCCCCCTCAGTGTTATCATTCTAAGACAACAGCAGAAAAAAAAGCAACAGAAAACAGCAAGCAGTGGGAGAATGCCCAGGTGTGTTTTATTAGAGCAAAAAGGAAATCTCTCAGTAGACGGAGGGAAGGGGGTTGGGGGTACCAAGGAAGCGCCGGAATGAAGTAGTTTATATATGGCTCTCTAGAGGGCAGACCAAAGGGTAGAGTACGTGCAAAAATGCAAGTACTATTTGGCCTTTGAAGTTGTTTGGTTATTTTGCTGCTATCATTGCCATCAGATTGTCATTCCTTTGTCTCTTGCAGCTATGACTTCCTTTGAGGCTTTATCTTAAGTGGATGTTAGTTAACTTAGTTTATCTCAGGTCCTTATTCTTTATCCCTTCATTTTCTGGTCTTGGGCAAGATTCCATAGGGGCAGGATGAAACAGTCGAAGTAAGGAATATACAGGACAATAGTTTTGGAAAGGAAAAGTCTGGGGAAAGAGTTGCTTGGGAGAATAAAGCTTTGAGAAGATTAGTTTTTTTTCCCCAGAGAATCTAGAATTACATGTGTATGCTCAGAAAAACTTGAGAATGCCCTAAATTCTCACTTGCAGGCTGTATGGAAGGATAGTGAAGGCTAAGGCAGAGGTGTAGCTGCCTGGGTAAGCACTGAAGGAGCACCCCAATATATAGCTATCTGGAAAAGATTGAGACTATTTTTATGTAGTTGGTTACTCTTCTTTCTTTTTAAAAGCTGTCTACATATAATAAGGGCACAATAATAAATAAAGATATGTAATAGATCTACGTTAAATTACTACCTGACCCTAAACTAATGGAGCAGAGATTTCAGTGGCCACATAATAAAGAATGTAGGCTTTGTAATGTTAGCTGAGAAAAGTTACTAAACAAACAAAAATAGTCATGTGTAGTGGGAAAATATGACCTCTAGAATATGGCCACATTAGCATGTTCAAAATATCCAGTTATCAACAAGGTAAATTGTGAGATATGCAAAAAAAAAAAACCCAAAAATTGAGACAAGGGAACTAATATAACTCCTAACCTGCTTGATGTCAGATATGCCAAGCTTGTGTTCCCCAAAATTGAACAATGAATTCTAAGAAATAAGAGGTTAAGAGCAGGCAATATTGCTGGGCATGGTGGTTCATGCCTGTAATCCCAGCACTCAGGAGGCTGAGACAGGAGGATCCTTGTGAGTTTGAGATCAGTCTGGGCTATACAGTGAGTTTCAGGGCAGTGGGAACTACATAATGAGACCCTTTCTCAAACAAACAAACAAAAAAAGAGTAGGAAAAATTTATTGGCAGAGATTAGCTCCTGAGAGATAGGAGGAGACCTGAAAGTGGGTTGCCAAAGAGCCTACTTTTTAAAAGAAGTTTTTTTTGTTTTTTTTGTTTTTGGTTCCGGGGATCAAACTTGAGACCTTGTGCTTGCGAGGCAGGCAACAGAACCACTGAGTTAAATCCCCGGCCCTTAAAGGAACTTTTATAAAACAAAATCATAAGGTGAATACAAAAACCACAAGGTAGGTACAATGTGGGTCAAAACCATGATCAACCAATAAGAGTATGAGCATAACCACTTTGGTAATAGTGATCCAAAGGGAATGCAGGTCATATATTAAGTGTACATGGAAAGAACAAGGACCTTTTCTTTTGGTACTGGGCATTGAACTCAGGACCTTGTGCTTATGAGGCAGATGGTAGAAGCACTGAGCTAAATTCTCAGACACCCCCCCTTATGAACTGGGGATCAAACTGGGTTCTTGTGTGTGCAAGGCAGGTGGCAGAACCACAGAGTTAAATCCCTGGCCCAAAGACCTTTTTAAGAAGAAAAGGATCAGGAGGTCCTGGTTACCCAACTGGATGACTGATGTCTAACTAGAATTTTTTGGACCAGGTAATACCAATTATAGTAATCTTTAATGTATTGCTTATCCCTTGGGGAGGCATATAGTCCTGGCCATTGTCTTTATCTTGAGCCCTGGCCTTTGACAGATACACGTCTGGCCACAGTTGTAATGTGTTCTTATCTTTTGCACTGATTCACTTGAGGCCCCAGCCCTGTCTAACTGCCTATAATATTTCAACCTAACTTAGCTGTTCATATTATAGGAGAAAAATATAAAAGAATATTCTTTTCAGAAGTCCGGACAGTGGAATTACTACACAGAGACTTTAAACCAACTGTCTTAAATATAGATATTCCTTGTTTAATGATCTAACTGCTTAACAAGTATTCATATTTATGGCAGAGTTGTGCTGTTCAGACTTACAACCACCACTCAGACTTATGATCCATCTTTTCTTAAATTTAGCTTTGCACATACTCTTTATAAAGCCTCAATGCCTTTTTTTTGTTTATATAGTACTGTAAATTTTGCTAATTGCACTGTACAGAATAGTACTATAGTTTTATGTTCTGTT